CCTGCTATAACATGATATATGAGTTCCTCCAAAAAAAAATCCTCTATATGCAAAATTGTACACCAAAAATAACAGGCTTACGTAAAATCTATGTAACTTTGTGTTATCAGAGTCCAAGCAAACCATAAACGTTACAGTAGATGGCCACGTAAGCCACTGAGAATAGCTGGCTTCTACCTCAAAGGATACTAAAAATGCACAAAAATAACAATGGAATTGCTGGCTTGTGGATACTGAGAGAACACAGACTGCAAGGGAACTTGGCGCGTTGGGGCTCCAGCAGGAAATGCAACCTGCCACTATATGAGAGCTGTGCAAGGCTAGGGGGTATACCTTTCCGGGAAAGGAATCTTAGGTGCAGGCACTCATTTTTAATTTTTTTTTTTTTTTTTTGCGGTACGCGGGCCTCTCACTGTTGTGGCCTCTCCCATTGCGGAGCACAGGCTCCGGACGCGCAGGCTCAACGGCCATGGCTCACGGGCCCAGCCACTCCGCAGCATGTGGGATCTTCCCGGACCGGGGTACGAACCCGTATCCCCTGCATCGGCAGGTGGACTCTCAACCACTGCGCCACCAGGGAAGCCCTAATTTTTTAAATATAGAGTTGAAAGGACTCTTTCCATGTCGAGCAGTCAAGGAAAAGCCTTTGCTCCTCCCTACTGAAGATTTTAATCCTTCTGTTGCTATTCCAGCCCCCTTTGGCAAAGAAAAATCACAGAAGAACCAGGACAACTTCCATGTAGTACTGACCTCATTCCCCACTTTTACTGATTGTTGTTGAGCTAACTGGTATCATACACACTTGTGCAGAGTAGTCTGTACAGCAAATCTGTATTACTAAGGACAAAAACAATAATTTTATCTAGATCACCTGTCCTGATATTATTTTTCTTATAAAATCCTAAATGATACAGATTCCCCATGTCATAGCTCTTTTTGTAATGAATGAGATATTGTTTATAAATCTACCAATTGATAAATAAATGAGACAAATGTATATAAAATATTTCACAGGCAATCAGCTACATAATTATATAAGCATCTATGTTACTACTCACATTCAATTTGCATTCAAAGGGCTTTTTCTTGGATGGGGGTGTCAAGAGAAAGTGTTTTATTTTTTTAATGTGGTAAAATACAAGTAACAAAATTTATTATCTTAACCATTTTTAAGTGTACAGTTTAGTGATATTAGGTACACTCACAATGCTGTGCAATCATCACCACCATCCATCTCTAGAAAGCACAAGAAGGATTTTATAATTTCCTACTACCATTTCTTGCTTATGCTACCAAAAATATGGATATACTTAGTACTGTCTAGAAATAATACCTGCCTCCTACATGTATCACAGAAACAATTTACAGAGTAAATCAAAAGATGTTTGTAAAACATACAAAATCCTGGTTTAGTACTAATTCAATTTATTAAGTGCTTACTTAATATGTCAGGTAGAAAGCTAGGTATGGTAGATGAAGAGATGAATCCCTGTCTGTAGTTCCTCATTTGGAGTATGACAGTATTGACTTATACTTGTAAACACTCCTGTATAGGAAAAGAACTTTCCGTCTCTCAAGATTTTCCTCCCAAACACACATACCTGGTGGTCACTGGGCTTAGAACATTGGTGTGTGTGTGTGTGTGTGTGTGTGTGTGTGTGTGTGTGTGTGTGTGCGCGCGCATGTGCGTGTGTGTGTGTGTGTGTTTAAAAATCATTACTTATTTATTTCTCCCGCAGTGCATCCCAAGTCTCTCCTGCATCTGGTTAGTTCCAAAACTATTCAACTCCAGAACCGGTCCAGCAATGCAGCTGCCTGCAGCCGAGCCTGGGAACTGTCAGATACCTGCCAAGGTGTTATAAGGCATGGGCTGTGTCCAGAGATGGAAGTGTGGAAAGCAGTCCTCCCAGTACCACTCAGCTCCACGTCTGTCAAGCACCTGGCTCAGGTGGGGCTTAGAATACTGTTTGTTCGTCTTAACAAAGCATTATAGTATATCCTTTGAATTACATGACCATATCTCAGTTTACATCTTTTCTGTCCTCTGATTTAGAGGAGCAGTATGGCTATATATCATGCTTCTTTTGGATACTTGCAGTAAAGAGGTTAACTTGGGTACATATTTCTGAATTCTAGTTCTTTGGAAGGGAATTGCACCACTGATGGATACTGTGTCCTACTGATGAGAATGATTCAATTTCCATTCCAAATGAGTAAACCCTTTTAAAACAAGCCTGGCAATATCCCTCATGTTCTTCCTTTCCTACCAGGTCCCAAGCAATGTGGCTCTAGGAAATAAAGAGAAAAAAGGCCATTCTGCCACCAAAAAGAGAGTGACCAGAGAATACACTACCAATATTCACAAACACACCCATGGAACATGCACCTCATATATCGAGAAATCTGAAAACTCACCATGAAGGAGATGGAAACACCTCATGTGTATACTGCTAACAAGCTCAACAAACCTGTCTGGACTAAAAGATTAGGAATGCACCCAACCATATTTGGGCTTGTTTATTCAGAAAACATCATTAATATGAAGATGTGCTGAAGAAGCTCTATACACTGGTCACCTATGTACATATCCTCACTTTCAACTTGCAGAGGGACAGGAGAGCAGTTTACAAATCTGAAGACCAGAAGGCTTTGCATTTCTTCCTTCTACACAGCATAGAGTAATAGGCATCTTGTGAAACAATGGGCAAACTAGGGTCATCTGTGTGGTCTACAATGCATCTAATAATAAGCTGGTCTGCACCAAGACCCTAATGAGAAACTGAATTGTGCTCATCAATAGCACACAATACCTAGCAAAGGTACAAGTCCCACTCTGCACTGCCCCTGAATCACAGGGGCAAAGCTGACTCCTAAGAAGAAAATTTAAACAAAAGCAGTCAAAAAATTTAAAACAAATATGATTAAGAAGGAAAATTTCTGAAGGAGTTCCTCCTCCACAGCAGACAAAGCTTCCTGAGAGCTTCACTTCAAGGTCTGGCCAATGTGGTCAAGTGGCTAAGCAGGTCGCTTTATATGCTCAAGAGCGAGAAACTGGAGTTCCATCTAAGGAAGATCAGGGCCCACAGAGGCAGACCCTACTCCCTCCCATCTTAGTTCAAAAACCAAACAAACCCCAACAGACAGTTATTATGAAAAAAGTAATTGTTTAAAATCACAATAAAGTTACTAGTAAGGAGAAAAAAAAAGGGCTGTCCAAACCACCTTGAATACTTCCAGTGAAGGGGCAGACAGATGTATTGTTTGACAGCTGCTTCTTAAACTGAGTCAGTATCTGTCTTGTATATTTCTTCTTCCACACCTCTAACAATTGTTTACTTTCATATTAAAGAAAAAATTTTCACCTAAAAATTCACTCATACACACATTTTTTTCTTCAATTTGAAACTGGAACAAACCATAAACAATACTCTTGAGATCTAAAAGTTTCACATGTAGATAAAGTGATATAAACAAGAGAGCAGCAATTGCTGATTTAAATTTTTTTTTTTAAGTTTATTTATTTCATTTATTTATTTTTGGCTGTGTTGGGTCTTTGTTGCTGCGCGCGGGCTTTCTCTAGTTGCAGCGAGTGGGGGCTACTCTTTATTGCAGTGCGTGGGCTTCTCATTGCAGTGGCTTCTCTCGTTGAGCACAGGCTCTAGGTGCGCGGGCTTCAATAGCTGTGGCTCACGGGCTCAGTAGCTGTGGCTCACGGGCTCTAGAGCATGGGCTCAGTAGATGTGGCACACAGGCTTAGTTGCTCCGTAGCATGTGGGATCTTCCCGGACCAGGGATCGAACCCGTGTCCCCTGCATTGACAGGTGGATTCTCAACCACTGCACCACCAGGGAAGCCCCTAAATGTTTTATTATCAAAATTACTCCATTTTTATTAGGGAACATTTTTT